AAAAAAAATAAATTTTATTCATAAATCACTAAAAAAAAACCCAAATAAGATAGTAACAGTATATTAAATAAATTCAGACATAAATGAAGTTGTCTAACTTGTATACTAGTATATTTTTTGAAAATGCTAATTGGTGTGTACTCCAGTGATAATAATTAACATTGTGTGCATGCAGTTTTAATAGACACATGATATTCTATTGGCAGAGATAATATCTGTTGTCATATCAATGATTAGTCAAAACAGGATCATATTTAAATTAGTTTGAAACAATAACATATAATGCAGAATGAAAATATACTGTAGATTTAGTATAATAGTTCTTCAAAACAGAATTTAAGAGATTGATTGAGTCACAAAATAAAATGTTTAATTTAAAAAATAGCTCACTAATTACATTGAAATTATTATACTTTCAACATTTTTGGTCACTTTATAATTTGTAGACCTAGAATATCCAAAGAATTAGAGTGCATTTTTCTTAATTTCTCCATCTTTATTCACTATCCAGTTACATATCGTTTTTATTACCTTTTATTTTCATTTACTCTGGTTTATTTATTAGGTTTGAGTACATTGTTTTTCCACTGGACCTTTCCCATTTCCTTTATACATCGCCCCCTCCCCATCCAATTTTGTGACCCTATGATTAGCCTCCCTCCCCAACCATACATTTAAAGAAAAAAATAATTTTCAAAATTATCTACAGGGGATTAGTATCCTCCCTATCTTCCCTTTTACTATGAATCTCATCATACATTATAAATGTCTGTTTTATTTGATGAAAAATCTTCTGCTGATTGCTTTGCCCATGGCTTCCTTCACATCCTTGTTCCTTAGACTGTAAATCATGGGGTTCAACATGGGGATCACTGTGGTGTAAAATACCGCCACCATTTTTCCCTGTTCCACAGACTCCTCAGTTGGGCTTCTAAGGTACATGAAGAAGAGGGTTCCGTAAAATATAGTAACGGCTGTCAAGTGCGACCCGCACGTGGAGAAGGCTTTCTTTCTTCCTTCTGCCGAGCGCATTTTTATGATAGCAATCAGGATAAAGACGTAGGAGACAACAATGACCAGTAAAGAGTAGGAGAAGTTGAGACCGGCTAGTGTGCGCATGGTGTATTCTTTAATGAAGGTTCCTGCACAGGCCATCTTGATGAGAGCCGGGTCAGCACAGTAGAAGTGGTTGATCTCAATGTTGCCACAGAAGTACAAACCATGAGTCCAGAGCGTTGAGATCAGACTGATAAAGAAGCCGTAGATATAAGGGAAAGAGATCAATCGAATGCAGACGGTCCTGGACATTCTGCTGCCGTAGAGTAGAGGGTTGCCAATTGCCACGTACCTGTCAAAGGCCATGACAGCGAGGATGAAGACTTCCACGTGGACAAAGGCGATGAAGAAGAAACACTGCACGATACAAGCAGGGTATGAAATGGTCTTGATCTCGGAGATCAAGTTTTCCAGCATTTTAGGGGTGACATTAGAGGAGAACCACACATCGGCAAAAGACAAGTGACTGAGGAAGAAGTACATAGGACTGTTGAGCTGAGGGCTAATCCTGATTAGTACGATCATTCCAATGTTCCCAATGATTGTGACGATGTAGACCAGTAAGAAAACCACAAAGAAAAGGAGTTGTAATTCGGGACGACTAGTCAATCCCAAAAGAATAAATTCAGTCACGTCAGTAAAGTTGAGCATTTTCTTAAATGTGATCCAGATAGAGACGCATATTATCTAGTAAAATAAATACAAATCAGTAACTGCACATGCCAAGTAGAACCATTTTGCCATTTATATTATTTCTTTCTAATCTATTCTTTTTAACACCTGGATGCTTTTCTTCTGTTTTCTCCTGTTTCAGATATTATTTTATCAGTATTACTTTCTCATGTACATACACAGATAGGTGGTATTTTGCCAGACAATCTGTTAAAATAGTAAATGTGTAGAAATATTGTGGCAGTTGTTTGCAGAAACGATGGGAGAGGAGGACTTTTATTCTTGGTAAAAATAAAGAAAAATACAAAGTGTAGTTGTGTGTTCCTTAGGAAAACACAAGTATATTATACAGAATAAAAAAAAATAATGACTTCAAGATAAATAATAAAAATTCATGCCATTTGAATGTCTCTTTTTGCATAAAGAGAAGTGGAATTGTAATAGTTATGCCTAAATTATGAGAATGTCCCATTCTGATGACTCTAATAGAGTTAATTTTCACATAAATCCATTGTTTGTTTGTTTTCTTTTTCATTTTAATGATGATGGTGGTGATGCACTTGGGAGGAGTTGTGCTCCTAATCCAAATACAAGCAGTTGGAATTGACCAGGAGTTCTGTGGATGAAAGATGAAAAATATTCTCCCATATGATTTATGGGCTCTGAAAACTCTATGAAAGGTAAGTTAGGAGTTTATTTTGACTAGATGGCAATAAATTGTGTGTGTGTGTGTGTGTGTTTGTGTGTGTGTGATATCACCAGTATTTATAAAAATAATTAATATTTATCTCTGGTGGTTGACAACTTTATATCAAACTTGTAGATATATATTTTAATATTGTATATGTGCATATTATAAATACGATTCAAATATAACCATTGTAAGAATGATTTGTTGTAACTTGAATACATAACAAAATTATAATTCTCAGTCTTCAGTATTCTCTTATCTGTGTTCTAGTATAGTTTTTTTTTTTTTTTATTGCCTCCTCTGCGTAGAAGTCCCTGTAACATGTAAGGCTTAGATAGCGGTAATATTTGGCACTCAGATTAACAGCTGGTGACACACAAACCTCAGGGTGCACATTGGACACACACACAATCACCCACATGGATATCCACAAAATAATGCACATGCATTTATCCATATGAAAATAGATTTGTCTAAAAACAAATTACTAAGATGTTTCTTGATCTAAATACAGCATTAAACAGCTATCTTTAAAAGTTATTTTAAAGCGTAGACATTTAATAAATGATGCAGAAGTTATAAAAGTCTATATATTTTTTAAACGGTTTATTGTTAATTGAGTGAAAGATTGCAGAGCAAATTGATGTCACAACCCGCCATTCACACATGTTTTATAGCATTGCATCATCATTCTTTGTAGTACCTCTCAGGGGTTCTTGCCATTCCTATCTCCACTCTCCCTTCTCGCCTTCTGAGTTGTATTCTTTGGCAAATACTGACCTTATAATTCTGTGTGGCTGAGTGTTCCAACTCCTCAGAATCTCCCTAGTGCTATTATACACCTTCTTATTTTGTCTGTTCTTGGTAGGCAAGTTGTGTCACAGGGTGAATTCAGTTCCAGACTTCATGAGTGGTTAAAATTCATAGTTTGGGGGTTGTTGTTGTTGTGTGCTGTTGAGTTGCCTGTGACTCAGCTGTACAACATCTCTGAACCCTGCCCTATCCTGACCCAGTTTCATTAACTCTGACACACTTAATCCCACTGCGCCAGTGTCATGGGACTTTTAGACATCAGATTTTAGAGACTTTATAGAGGTGACAAAAATTTGCATTGGATTAACAACAAAAAAGACAGAAAATGTGTGTATGTGTGTGCGCGCGCGCTACTGATAAAAGATGTATTATGGATGTTTTCTAAGGTATTTTATTTACCACACAGTATAATGAGATTGTTTGCTTTAATTTCTTTTTAAAACCAGAGTACTAGATAACAGTGTGATGATAATGATAAAGACTAACTAAAGATTCCTCAGAATAAATTGTTGTTGTTGTTTTAGATTTCTATTATTCTCTGCAATTTAATAATTTTAAATTATGATGCCTTCAAGCCATGGTGCTGGAAGAGTCTCAAACATACCATGGACCACCAAGAAAACAAGTAGGTCTGTCTTGGAGAGGATACAACCAAGTTTCTCCTAGGAGGCTAGGATTTTGAAGCTCCATCTCACATACTTTGGTCACCTTGCCTTGGAGAAGGACATCATGCTCAGAAGGGTGGAGGGGCAGTGCAGGGGAGGGAGACCCCAGACAAGATGGATTGAAACAATAACTGGGGCGATGGGGACAGGTGTATCAGGGTCTGTAAGACGGCTCAGGACAGGACAGGCTTCAGAGCTGTTTACATAGGGTCACTTTGAGTCGCAGGTGACTCAACAGCACATAACAACACATTCACATGTTTTAACTAAAAAGAAAAAAATGGACAAACTCAACTCTTGAAAAGTTTACTCTTTTGAAAAAGTTTACTCTTACTAAAATTTATCAGATTATTTAAAAAGGCAGCAGAGTAGCACCTAGCATACAGAATGTATTACCAAGTACTTGGTTTGCGACTCATAGCGACCCTATGTACCACAGCCCTAAACTCCTCTCTGTTCTGTGCCAATCGCACTGTCTCTGACACTCCCATCCCGATTATCCCAGTCACTGAATCAATCCACCTCATAGAGGACCTTCCCCTCCTGCACTGTCCCTCCACCCTCCCAAGCATGATGTCCTTCTCCAAGGACCGGTCTCTCCTCACAACATGTCCAAAGTATGTTAGATGGAGCCTCAGAATTCTTGCCTCCAAGGAGCCACCCAGTTTAACTCTTTCCAGGATGAATCTGTTTGTTTTCCTAGCAGTCCATGGTACTCTCAATACTCTTCTCCAGCACCACAGCTCAAAGTCACAAATTCTCCTTCTATCCTCCTTGGTCATTGTTCAACAAATGATTGTGAAGACCATGGCCTGTATCAGACACACCTTAGTCTCCAGAGAGATACCATTGCTCTTCAGTACTTTGGAGAGGTCCCTAACAGCAGACTTTCCCATGGCAATGCGCCTTTTAATTTCCTGGCTACTGGTGCCAAGAGTGTTGACTATGGAGCCAAGCAAACTAAAGCTGTGTACAATCTCAATCTCTTCACCATCTATCCTGATGCTGCCAATTGGTCCAGTGGTGAGAATCTTTGTCTTCTTGACATTGAGCCTCAATCCATATTGGAGGCTGCAGTCCTTGACCCTCTGCAGCAGGTGCTTCAGGTCCTCTTCAGTTTCAGCAAGCAGGGTTATGTTATCTGCATAACGCAGATTGTCAATAAATTGTTCACCAATCTTCACCCCACATTTCTCCTCATAGAGCCCCGCCTTCTGCATAATCTGTTCTGCATATAGGTTGAAAAGGTATGGAGACAGGATGCATCCCTGGCGTACGCCCTTTCCAATCACAGATTTGCTATGAGTTACGCTCGACTCAACAACTAACAACAACAACCACCCCAAAAATAGGGCTAAAAGCTTTTGTTTTTTAAGAAAATATGTACTAATTTATTAGTATTCAGCAAAATCATTGGTTCACTTCTTATCCATCATTAGCTGTTTCCAAATAATTCTACTTTTTTCTATAAAGATGTATCCGTTTTTCTACATTATCATATAATATTTATGTTTTGTCCCACATTCCCCAGAGTTTGTACCTATCTTAGTTTTTGTGGGGAATATTTTGTGTTTGGTTTTCTGGTGTTTTTTTTTTAATTTTTTGTTTTATTTCTTCTGTGATTTCCACCAGTTGTTTCAAGATTAGATTTTTCCTGGCAAACATAATATTGAGATTGATACAATAAGATTCTTTTCATTCTTTCCTGCAGTGTTGTCTGTCAAAGTATAAAGTGCAGCGTTATAAGTTGGCTGTCAAAGCCCCAAGGACAAAGAAATGCTATTGATCTAAAAGAATCAGAGAGCACAGTAAAAGTTAATAACATTCTCTTTATAAGGAGTTATGTAACATTTTGGTTGCCCAGTTCCAAGCAATTAACCATTTTCCACACATGTCTATCCAAGAAACATACTCTACATTTCTATCCTACCCAAGTGCTACAACCCAAACCTTTCCTTTGTATAGTTAGTTCTATTCATTTATTTGGCCATACATATATTGTTATGTGTGTGTTTTTCATGTACCATTAAGGCAGAGCTGACCCACAGCTGACCTTTCAGTGGGTTTTCAGAATCAGTAAATCACGTGGGAGGAGTTTGCCCATCTATCTCCAGTGGATGGTTTCAAAGTGAGTGCCTTGGGTTTGCAGTTCAGCTTCTTACCATGGGATCACCAGAGCTCCCTTACATATATAGAGAGAATATTTTAACCTTTTTCTCTTAGAACATATATATTCTGCGAACATAGGAATGAAATAAAAGGAATTTGACTTTGAGCATGTAAGGTGCTGAGGGGTTCAATAAACCAAGCCACATGCTCCGAGTCTCCAGCTCCCAGAAAGCCTTTCACTAAAACAGTTTTGTTCCATGACAGCTGAACAGAGTGAAACTACTTTTGACCCTTAATGAAGTCTAGTTTGATAAGTCATACGTGTATGCAGGATGAACAATTACCACTTTGGTTTACACAGTAGTTTCTCCATATTCTTTCTGAAGGGTTAGTGTCTTTGAAAACCTAGGGAAAGCAAGGTATTGGTTATCCCAGAAAAGTTACCCAATATCCAAAAGCTACATGTGTGTTACAGAGAAGTCTTCAAATCAATATTTGTGACAAGGTAAAAATTCTATGAGCTTACGTATAGACCCGTCTTGTTCCAGTCTGTCTTTATGCTGAATTTTAGCCATTTACAACTGTCTTCCATTGCTACAGGAAAGTCTCTTCAATCCACTTCCTAATAACCCTTCAGAGAATATTATCTGCCTAGTAAGAACGGGAAGTCTAGAGGGCTGACACTTTAGACAGATTTGATGAGAACACGTAGACAACCAGTGCTTGAACCTACCTGTGCATGAAGAAAGATTGTTCTTGGTAACATCTCATCTGCTACAGGGGAGGATAAATTAGGATCATTTATAAGGATTGAATTTTCTGCTTTGGGACTTTTTCACTGGAGAATATACTCAGAAATGTAGGGACGTAATTAAAATACTACATATTGCATCATTTAAAGTGCAATCATGAGCTTCAGGGGGAAAACAACTCTCAATAGACGTAGAAGTTTTAGGAATTAATTAGCTATAGAAAAACCTCTGTATTCAGATGCTATAAAGGATAAACAAGCTCTTGATGTCCTGTCTGATCACATCAGTCACAACATATATTATGAATAATCTATACTTCCCAACTGACAAAGCACTTTGTACTAGAGAAGAAAGTCTGTTCTCTCTATTAATAAGAAGTATTCAGTTCCCCAAAAACAGATAATAGAAGAGGATATATTTCATTTCATACAAAAAAACCATTAGTGTGACCAAAATCACATGTTGCTTATCTGAAAATATTAGTACTCAACTCATAGGCAAAGCTCTACTTTTTCTCTGTTGTCTAGACCGTTTTTTGTTATTTAATACAATACACAAAAAAGATAATGAATTGCTAATTTTATGAATAGAAAAAATGTCTATGAGTTAATTGATAAATTATGCACATTGATAGTTTCAGAATAAAACTACCTAGTTCAGAATAAAACTTATTAGAATACCTGAGAAATATGATTAAAATTTTATTGATAAAGTCATTTTTAAATAGGATGAGTAGAATATCATGGACTGCTAGGAAAACAAACAGATTTGTCCTGGAAAGGGTTAAACCGGGTGGCTCCTTGGAGGCAAGGATTCTGAGGCTCCGTCTAACATACTTTTGGACATGTTGTGAGGAGAGACAGGTCTTTAGAGAGGGACATCATGCTTGGGAAGGTGGAGGGTCAGCGCAGGAGGGGAAGGCCCTCTATGAGGTGGATTGATTCAGTGACTGGGATAATTGGGATGGGAGTGTCAGAGACAGTGCGATTGGCACAGGACAGAGCAGAGTTTAGGGCTGTTGTACATAGGGTCACTATGAGTTGCAAGTGCTTCGACGGCACTTAACAACAACAACAACAATCATTATCTGCTTGCTATCTCCATCAAGCAAGGCTTGAGACTTGATTTTTTAATTGAGCATAATTAATAGGTAGAGGTTAATGCTTTCAAGTTACATGAAGCAAACCTTGGTTAACTTCTCTCCCTGCTTTCCACAAGGGCCCATGAAGACCATGGTCATGTGTGGGCCAACATTCAGCAGCCCTGTGAATCATGAAATTGCTTAGAATGCAAGGAATGCTTCAGATAACAAGTCTAAGGTTGTAACCTAATATACTGACTACAACTCAGAGACATCATATACCCATATTTTTATGTGATAGTTAAACAAAATAGTCTTACTTTATTAAAGTCAAATTTTCCCCAAAAGAAAACAAACAAACAAAAAAAAAAAAATAAAAACAACCCACTGCCTGACAGAACTAGGAATGTGAATGAGTTGTTCAATTATTATCTTCTGGTCATTCCATGCCACCCATTAACTCTAGAAATTTCAGCCTAACTTTGTCTGACAAAGAAGTTAGAAGTTTAATGTACAAAATAAGCCTAAAATGTGAGCTCTAGCACAAGACTATTCTAAAATACTATTCTATCCTAGCACACCGAGGACTTGCCAGTGGTAGCTTAGGCCTTTATTTAGCCAATTTTTGCTTCCCTATTGCTTTTCTCAAGGCTTCCTTCACGTCCTTGTTTCTGAGGCTGTAGATCATGGGGTTGAGCATGGGGATCACGGTGGTGTAGAACACAGCCACCATCTTCCCCTGCTCCACAGACTCCTCGGTGGGCCGTCTCAGGTGCATGCAGAAGAGAGTCCCGTAGAAAACGGTGACGACTGTGAGGTGAGAGCCACAGGTGGAAAAAGCCTTTTTCCTGCCTTCTGCTGAGCGGCTTTTGAGGACGGCAACAAGGATGAACATGTAGGAGGTGAGGATGATGAGGAGGGACTGGACGTTGCTGTAGCCCGCTACGATGTACATCGAGAGCTCTTTGCTGTAGGTGTCAGAGCATGCCAGCTTGATAAGGGGAGGGTCGGCACAGTAGAAATGGTTAATTTCATTCGCACCACAGAAGGAGAGGTTGTAGGTCCTCAGGGTTTCCATCACACTGAGGAGAAAGCCGTAGACGTAAGGGACAATGACCAGCCAAATGCACACACTCTTGGACATCTTGCTACTGTAGAGCAGTGGGTTACAGATGGCCATGTAGCGGTCATAAGCCATGACGGCCAACATGCAGTGTTCTGTAAGGACCACGGCAATGACAATATAGCACTGCACCAAGCAACCTGCATATGAGATGGTCTTCTTCTCGGATAAGAAATTCTCTAGCATTTTGGGAGTAACATTGGTGGAGAAACACAGATCCAACACAGACAAGCTTGAGAGAAAGAAGTACATGGGAGTGTGAAGTCGAGAATCGATTTTGATTAAAACGATCATTCCCAGGTTTCCTATCACTGTAACAATATAGACAACGAGGAACAGAACAAAGAAAGCGACTCGTAGTTCTGGGTGACTCGTTAGACCCAAAAGAATAAATTCTGTGACTTCAGTGTAGTTTCTTCTGGACATGTCTTTATATCATGAGTTAGGTTTTGGTTCTTTTATCTAAAGAGAGATACAAAAGTCTTTTAATTATAGAAGCTTTGATTAAATATTTTATCTTACGTAAAAGTATTCAAATGGGCTAAGTATTTTTTTTTCAATTTCAGTTGCATTTTTGCAACTAGATATTGATAGAAATACATAGGACAAGGCAACTCGAAAATATTTTTTAAATATTTTAAAATGCTTTTCTTAATGAAGGTTGTATTTTGTGATAACACTGCAATTAATTTGGAGACTAATGACAAAAGCACTAAGTATGTAAATTCTTTGACATTCTAAAAACCTCTACATACTTTTAAAATAGATAATTTTAGAAGCTTAGGGATGCTTATGGTAACCTAGTGGTAAGAAGCTGTGCTGCAATCTCAAAGACACACAGTTTGAATGTACCAGCTGTTCCCTGGAAGAAGGGTGAGCAATCTCCTCCCCCGAGATTAACTGCCTCTGCAAATCCACTGGAGGGTCAGCTATGGGTCAGTTCTGACTCACCGGTCACCATAGCAACACATTCAAAAGGAAGCTCTGAAGGTTTAGTGTGAAGGAGTTGCACTGCCAACCCAAAAGCTTGAGGCTCAAATCCACCAGCTGCTCCAACATAGAAAGACGCCAAGTTTCCTCCTGTGCAGTTTACTGCCTCTGAACACCCACTGGAGGGTCAGCTGTGGATTGATTCTGACTCCGTGGTACACAACACCACAACATGCACTTTTATGTAAATACATAGACACTTAAATGTTGACACAATGCAGGCAAAATAAATTTTGAAGATTATTTAAGCAAAGTTTCTCATTCTAAAGGTCAAGAAATTACCTCTCAGAGAGGTGAAATGACTTAGCCAATTTCAAACACCTACCTGGAAGCAGACCTTCAATTCATACTTCCAAACTCACTGATTTTATGGTATATCTCACCAAGTCTATATAATTGTCTTGAACACAATAAAGCAGAAAGTTTTCTTCATTGGTTGTTGATGATGGTAGTGATGCTTGTGTTCTTTACGTTATAAATTGTTTGGGTTATTGTTGCTGTTGCTCTGTGCTGTCCCATGACTATAATCCTAAGTGGCCCTATGAACAACAGATCCAAATCTCTAAAACAGCATCCACTGATTTATTACTATGTTTATATGAGAAAGGTATTTCACACATTTCACTTAAAATTCTAGCATGAAATTCAGATGTTTAAAAATTTGAAAAATTACAATGAAAAGTTTGGAATGTAAGGAAATTCTAATTCTTATTCTTTATCCAACTTTCAGATGCATAGGAAGCAATTGAAAATTGTTTGTGCCAGGCACATCTAACTATTTAAATAGGTACCCTTGCTTCTTATCACTTTGTAGAGATCTTTGACAGCATATGTTCCCAATGCAGCACTATTTGATTTGTTGACTGCTGTTACCAAAGGTGTTGATTGTGGAGCCAAGTAAAAGAAAATTGTTGACAAGTTCAATCTTTTCTCCATCTATCATGACATTGCCTATTGGCCCAGTGGTAAAGATTTTTGTTTTCTTGATCTTGAGATATAATCGCATCGAAAACTGTAGCCTTTTGCAGCAAGAGTTTACAGTTGTCTTCATTTTCAACAAGCAAGGTTGTGTTATCAGCATAATGCATATTGTTAATGAATCTTCCCTAATCCTGATGCCATTTTCTTCTTCATGTAGTCCGGTTTCTCAAATTATTTGTTCAGCATACAGACTGAATCATTACACATATATGATGTAAGTCATGCAGATGAAAATATTATGACGAGACAGGATCAGCTTAGTTTTCATAGTGACGTTTTACTTTTTGACATTTTATTGACATTTTTTGCTACAGATTTTGGCAGTATGTTATTTAATTTCTTGACTCTTGTTTCCATGGCTATTAATTGTAGATCGAAGTAAAATGATTGAAAACTCAAATATTTTTTCTCCATTTACCATGATATTATTTATTGATCCATTAGTTTCTACACATACTAATTTGTAAATAAGTTGAATGGTTTTAATATTTTCACAAAATAAATTTTGTAGCTGAATAATATTGTCCATACGTGGTAATTCAGATGTTGTTGTTCTTGACTGCCATGAAGTCAAGCACAACTCGTAGCAATTTTATGAACAAAAGACCTGAAGCCTTTCTATAACTATCGTCATTTCTCACAGTTCATAGACTTTCCAGAAGCATGTTTGTTTAGGAAGTGGATGTCATATTTGCATATATCATTCCCAGAAAACTTATCAGAGAGTACTATAAAATTTCTAGTCCCTTCTGAACAGGCTCAAGAAGTCAATGTAAATATCCCTTCACCTTTTACATTTACCTTTATACTTTAATAATATCTGGAACTAATTATCTTAATTTGCCTTCATGAAGTAATAATTTAAAAAAATAATTCTTTTCATCGCTGAAAAAATAATTGGCTGTTATATTCTAACAACCACACTATAATATTTTACATGTATTATCCTTTTTATTTCAATCACAACCCTTTCAGATAAGCAACATATTATTTAATTTTACAGTGAAGGAATAATTCCTTGAGCTGTCTGGTTAAAATGTTGTTTTCTTAATTATTAAAGATTATTGTCTTATAATAATTATACAATTGTGATAAAATAATCTTATAGTTAAAAATAATTTAATTCACTTCCCCTAACCGTATGATAATTTATTCATTTATTAAATGATTTTTTATAAATATTGGACACCTGACATATTTGAGAGACAATACTTGAATGTTCAAATGATAGTGGTAGATAAAATAGAGACAAGACAACTGTGGATGAGTGACCAGGCTAATGAGGGAGATTATTGCAGCCCACTCTCTTAGCTCAGCTGTGGAATAAATAGGAAAGGCTTCATAGATTCTACCCCTTGTCTAGACTACTTTACATTATACCATTTTGCTGGAAGAGTTAATTCACCCCTATTAGGTTGAAATATTAGTTGCCTAAAATAATTGTAAAAAAAAATTTTTTTGTTATTATTCTCTCTCGATTGGCACTATGAGTTAATGAAAGGACTGAAACAGAAGCCTACACTAAGGTTTCTATCGAGCTACAGATGATAGGGACAGACATTCTAGCAAAGACAAGAGATGGAAGTATGACAACAAAGGGAAACACAGATTCTACTAACTTGTAATAATAGGAAGACAATTAGTCCAAGAAACTACAACAGTGGCTTCAAACTGTGACTAAAATTCAAGAAGAAAAGTCTTTAACTTTATACTGCTCTCCATTCATGAGCTCACTTCTCCAGCCCAAAGCCAAGTTCTAGGGCGGACTTAGCCTGGTAGGTGTCTTACGGCCTTCAAATCTATCCATCACAATAAAACGGGAGCTCACTGGTGACTGAGATTTCTCACTTTTGTGTAAGTCGATGGCAACTAATTGTATTTTAATTTTAGAATACATAAACCTATGCCAAAAAGATTCAACTAATGGATAGATAAAATCACGTGGAAGATTGTTACATTTCTTCTAGGAGGTGGTAAACATTCACAGCGAACACTCAAACTCACCCAGCCTGGCCTTAACTGTGAGATAGGAAAGACTCAACAATTATATATGCAGCCAAAGAGTTATCAACTGAATGTTAAAAGACGTTTCTGACCTAATTTAGGTTTCTTAAATACAAATAACAGTTACTTATATTTCAAAGATCTTAACTGAAAGATGAAAATGAGAATATTCTTTAAGTGAAGGGGGAAAATGGTCCCAGAGAAACAAGAATTTCTTGTATAAAACAAAATTATGAGCAGTAAAAGCAAGGTAAAGAAGCCACAGTCTTAAAAATAAAAATTAGAGATTCACAAAAATTTAGAGTAATAGTCCAACCCCCGCCCCCCATGCCCCATAATGAAACTAAAGGACTAAAGATTTGTTTGGACAATGACTTTAATCCTTAGAGGCCAGGAACCTTTGGAAACAATGCAGTCACATAATCCTTAATTATGTCCATTTTTTTCTTTTCTTATGAAAATTGATGACATTAGGAAAATTGTCATAATACAAAAATGTATTACTGAGAAACTAGTAAAATATTTGTTGGAGATCCTTGATAGGGAATTCTACCAAGATGTTTCAAACACCCACAAATGTCATCAAAGTGAAAGGTGTAAGCTAACATCCTGTAATATTTTTCATGAAAATAAACAGGAAATATTCCTAAAAAGCTATTTTAATACATGACTGTATAAAAGTTACCTAGTTTAATGAAGAGCATATATAAATTACTAGATATCAAAATTAATATATACATGCATTTCCTCTTTTACCTGTAGAAATACTGGCGTCTTCTCAGGGAATCTCTTCGTGACCACGAAGGTCAAATTCTGGCAAGTGCTGAAAGATTTATACCTAGGTTATTGGCATCAGCTCTTATGTCAGGATAATCCCTTATGTGTAAAGAAGAAGCAATTAGAAGTAGAATCCCAATAGAGAACATTCTCAAAAGCAGAAACACTAATTGATAGAATTATACTATATGGGAATAATCGTAAAAATACACATGTTTTACACTTACTGAGTTTCAAAACAATTAGCTGCTTTACAAATTAGGGGAATATTTTAGTCAATTATTCCTAGGAAGTCTAAAACATTCCTAGCAAACTCTTAACATTTCATAAAAAGAATTTAAACTCATAATTTAAAAATCCATCTCGTTTATACTATTTGTTATTATTAAATGTCATCAAGCTGATTACGACAAGTAGTGACTCAATGCTTTTTGGTACAGTGGCTAAATTCTTTCCATCTACATTTGCTACTTCCTGAATCATTCAGTATTTGTCCCATAGAGTCCTTTGGTATTGAAACTTGAGGCTTGAATCTGCTTTTCAGTTTTTTCAGTTTGAGAAATACTTCAGTGACTGAAGTAATTTGGATGGGTGTGTTAGAGGCAGTGCAATTGGCACAGGATAGAGCAGAGTTTAGGGCTGTTGTACTTGAGGTCGCTATGAGTCGCAAACAA